AGCATTTCAATTTCTTAAGAAAGAAAATAGAAAAAAACAAAAAAATACTTTTGCATTACTTCTTTTTTTTTTTTTTTTTTTTTTTTTTTTTTTTTGTATTTTCTAAGCTTTGTGTCTGTTGATATTCTCCCAAAGTCAGGCTGTGATCTGTTTGTTACACCTGGATATGGTGGGAGAATTCTTGGGCTTCTCAGGCAATAGGTCTTCATGCCTTGAGAGTATGCATGCCTTTCTCCTGGGTTACTGAGTGCAGCTCCTGTTTTATTTTGTATTTGTCATTTTCTTACCTCTGACAGGCTTAGGAATATTATTTTAAAAGACAGACTGTTTGGGAGTGGAAATCTTTATAGTCAGAGGATAAACTGTTATAAATACACTGAATAGGACAATATTGGAACAGTATGCCTTAAAATGTTGGTCAGGAAAGATGTACTTTAAAAATTAGTTACAAAAATATTTTTCTTACTTTAGAAAAAATGAAAGCACATGCAAAGAGAAGAGCCTGTGGTTAAGATTGAGACAGGGCTCATATCGAGCTCACCTGTTACTAGCAGCCTTATACGGGACAAGACAGATTTCCTCAGCATCTTTGGTACATAAGTAACTATATTCCAAGATAAAAGGAAATAAAATTGCAACTGAACTGCTTCTAATACTAAGAAGTACTGGTTTCCTGTGACCAATCCAAGTTCTCCTGGAAATACAATATTTTCTAACGCTTGGTGATAACAAACGATTTAAGCTGTGGATTGGTGACACCATAGGGCAGAAGTTCTTAGACCTTACTATACATGAGTATTACCTGGGAGCTTGTTAAAATTTAGATCACTGGGTCTCAGTGCTAAGAGAGTTAGCAGGTCTGGGAAGTAGTCAATAATCTGCATTTTAATAGCCTTGCTTTCAGCACTATTGGTCATTTTTCACAAGGTTGCCACATTTTTCAAACAAATTCTTTTGCTCCTAGTAAACTTTAAAAATTGTATTTCATTTAGCATAAGTATTATGAGATTTAATGACTGAACTTCAGGCTTAGTGGTAACTAATTTAGAATTCCTAGGTGTAAGCTAAGACATAGTATTCAATAAGTATTCAATACACAGACTTAATTCAATACACTAGACTTCTTTCAATTAGAAGTTATTAGTTACACAATTTCCACTGTCAGGTTATCTGTGCACCCGCAGATAGTATTAGATAAGGGTATAGCCTGGGTATAGCCCAGGCACAGATACCTAGGGAATTTCACAAGGTTCTTTTATAATCATTTATTGCCTACTGTGCCCTTAATGATGTTACTCAGTGTCCCATTAGTTTAGTTGTGAGTTTAGTAATTGGTCCCCTGATAATAGCCAGGGGGTGTCAAACTGTGTTGCTCCATCCCATAATGGTCATGCTGAAGATAAGACAGAAGTTGCTGCTTTCTACCCTGTTTCCTTTCTAAGAATAAGGCACACTGCTCATAGGACATTTTCCATAATACAACAGGAGTCTCTAGGGAGTGATAGGTCTCTAACTCAGGAATGTACCCATGACCTACTTCTAAAAGTAATTTGAAGATGCTGCCAAACATGATCAAAACCTGGACTACCTCACTAGCTATTCTGAAGAACTAGAATAACATTGATATTATCTGCCACATCAACAGCTTTAGTCCATTTTGAATAAGGTTTTCTCCTACCTCTGTTGATACTTAGACGAAATGAAACATGTCTAGTGTCTGGATTCAAAGCAGTTGCACAAACAAACTCATGTAAGTTATA